TAATAAATATAATATAATAAATCTATAATATATATTATAGATTTATATTATAGATTATAGATTATTATATATAATATAATAAATCTATATATAAATAGATATAATATTATATGTATTTATTTATACTAAATTACATCTACAACTAGCTTAATCGATCTACCCAGCAAATTCGATGAATTAATATTATATAGCTTGCATAAAAATTTGAAAATTATATATATAATATTATGCTGAGATATCGGATTGCAGAGATAATTATTGTCTGAACCTTTACAATGGTTTATTTCTTGATTATTATACTATAACGTTTTCCTAGTCAACGTTAAAGAAGGCAACAAATTTGTATTCCTTAACTTTTGCACTCAAACGTCTTGTTTCTCCTTGTTGTAAAAGTAGGAGGCAATTTAAAAAATGTGTTACTACCAAATTAATTTGTGTAATAGTAAAAATGTAATATTACTAAAACTGTTTGGTAGGCTTAATACAGAGTGAGAGAAATTTCAGAGGAATAAAGGTTTGGTATTAGATTATGGATTTGGAATAGAGAAATTTGAGAATTTGGAGTCTAGAGAAAAATTAGAATGTTTTTTCAAATGTGCGAAAATTTTTGAATTTGTATATCACTGAAAATGATGGTTTATTAATGGACAATTGCGTGTTTGATAGGTTCTACCGAGACAGACCTGTGGCCTTTTCACGCACACGATCTTCATCGATAGATACCCAGGCGGACGGGACAAGCTGGACAAATTGATACAGGGTGGCGAACTGTTCCAGACCATCGTTCACAATCCTGTAAGTATTGTAACGACAGACTCATTATCTGTTGTGCTTGTTTTCCTTTACTCCATATTTTATTTATTTTTACTTTATTTATTTTTATTTATTTTGCATTTATTTTCACTTATCTTTATTTATTCTTCATTTATTTTCACTTATCTTTATTTATTCTTCATTTATTTTCACTTATCTTTATTTATTCTTCATTTATTTTCACTTATCTTTATTTATTCTTCATTTATTTTCACTTATCTTTATTTATTTTGCATTTATTTTCACTTATTTTTATTTATTCTTCATTTATTTTCACTTATCTTTATTTATTCTTCATTTATTTTCACTTATTTTTATTTATTCTTCATTTATTTTCCCTTATCTTTATTTATTCTTCATTTATTTTCACCTATTTTTATTTATTCTTCATTTATTATCACTTACTTTCATTTATTTCAAATATTTTCACTTATTTGTATTTATTTTTTATTTATTCTATATTCTATTCAATCTAATTATTTGGCCGTCTCTTGCAGATCAATATTTTTATGACGCACATGTCGAATTATGGGAACGATCGTCTGGCACTGTACACCTTCGAATCGGTGATCAAGTTCATTCAATGTTGGACGAACTTGAGGCTGTCCAGCGCGCCGCCACTCCAGCTGGCCGAGCGTTACTTTCAACTTTACCCCGAAGAGTCTGATCCTGTTTGGGGCGTAAGTTGTCCACTTCAAGCCCCGCCCGCTTGTTTCTCATCTCATCGACCTAATTTGTTCCTTGCCGCAAGTGGCCGATTGACATCAAACCACCTATAAACAAGCGATAATAATTTCAAGAATTGATTCGAAGCTCTGAAATGACAGACATAAATGGCAAAGGAGAAGTCGTTCATCGACTAAAATATTCTTCGCGATGAATTCTTGTATTTCATACGCAGCAAGGAGTCATAACTGAACCAATAACTACAAGTTTTTTATAAATCATTATTTATTGCTACGAAGATAGGAGAATCTAAAAAAATAAACATTATACTCATTTTTATAATAGTCAGAAGTAACGCAAGAAATTTGTTCAATAATTAATATCTCCTCGTTCAGCAATGACAATAAAAATAGATTGACACGGTTTTGCACCAGTTCATAAAAGGGATTTTATATTTACATGGAATGTTCTAGCAGTGAATATTAAAAATAAAGAATGTATTAAATATTGTGAAGTATTAGACGTGGTGCAAAACCGATTCAATCTATTATTGTTGTCATTCCGAAGCAACAAGACGTTAATTATTACAAAAATTTCTTATGTTACTCCTAACTGCGATGAAAATAACTATAATGTTTATTTTTCGTTATTCTTGTATATTCCTAGCAATAAACAATGATTTATAGAAAACTTGTGATTGTTGGTTCAGTTATGCTTTTACTGTAAGTCTTCGAATATTCCTTACAAAAATAAAATAAAAGTATTTTAGATGAGCTCTCTTGTATCAAATGCACACAACGATACGTGTCGATAATTTTAAAGATTCGATCGATTTCTCTTCCTTTTTCTCGACAATTAACCCCTTGCCGTACTTTGACGAGTCCGACTCGTCATGAAAATTTCTAGTAATTACTAATTGAGTGTAAATGTTATTCTTTCTTTTAAAACTGGAATAAAATTCTAATCTCTTTTTATGAATATTTAAGCATTCAAGTAAATTTGGGCACACAAGCATCAGTTTTCTTTCCTTTCTATGAAACGATTGCAATCGAAAAATTTCTAATCACAGTAACTACGAAGAAAATGCTATGTCAAGGGGTTAACTATTAACAAATTATTTCGCGACATTGAAACGTTAAGATTGAAATTTCACGATCGACTCGCATCCGTAAATTTCACGAAATTGAATCGATCGAATCCTTACAAAAATAAAATAAAAGTATTTTAGATAAGCTCTCTTGTATCAAATGAACAACGATGCGTGTCGATAATTTTAAAGATTCGATCGATTTCTCTTTCATTTTCTCACTGGAATGTTACAGACTCGACAATTAACCCCTTGCCGTACTTTGACGAGTCCGACTCGTCATGACAATTTCTAGTAATTACTAATTGAGCGTAAATGTTATTCTGTCTTTTAAAATTCGAATAAAATTCTAATCTTTTTTTATGAATATTTAAGCATTCAAGTAAATTTGGGCACACAATAAGCATCAATTTCCTTTCCTTTCTATGAAATGATTGCAATCGAAAAATTTCTAATCGCAATAAGTACGAAGAAATTGCTATGTCAAGGAGTTAACTATTAACAAATTATTTCGCGACATTGAAACGTTAAGATCGCAATTTCACGATCGGCTCGCATCCATAAATTTCACGAAACTGAATCGATCGAATGAAAGTTCTAGCACGAACACAAATCGCACAGAAAAATACGAGAAGATATCGCATTCCTCGCGAAACACTGAATTGTTCTCCACCGTAGAATCCCTGCGACGACCAGAGGCACCAGAAGATCTGGTCGCGGAACAAGACCTGCGATCAGCTGCCGAGGTTCCTGGTAATCGGGCCCCAAAAAACCGGCACCACGGCTCTCTACACTTTCCTGTCCATTCACCCAGCAATAAGCAGCAACTTGCCGAGTCCGGACACGTTCGAAGAGATCCAGTTCTTTAATGGGAAAAATTATTACAAGGGACTGGATTGGTAAGCGTCTGAATCCCGTAACGCGCGCGCGTCGATTTAATCGTGATACGATTGTTCATCGCATGTCGCCGTTATAAAACGTCGCTGCCGCATTAATAAACGTTCCTCGATAGTTACCGCTCCATTACGCCGCGACGCGAACCGGCCCATTAGCCTCGCATCGAATCAATCCGATCGGACTTACGACGCATTTATTCTGCCTAGGTACATGAGTTTCTTCCCGGCGTCGAAGAACGAGAGTTCGAGGTACCTGTTCGAGAAGTCTGCCACCTACTTCGACGGTGAACTGGTGCCGCGGAGGGCTCACGCTCTGCTGCCGAAAGCGAAATTGATCACTATACTTCTGTCGCCGGCGAGGAGGGCTTATTCCTGGTACCAGCACACCCGGGTCCACGGAGACACGGTGGCGAACAATTACTCCTTTCACTCGGTGATCACCGCGAGCGACACTGCTCCGAAGCCTCTGCGCGATCTCAGGAACAGGTAAAAGGGCTTGCTAAAAGGCTGTCAAATCGTAGTTTAACACGTTGAATACCACACTGGTTTAACAGAAATTGTGTGATACATATTTATGAGATACATATAATGTTGAAATATTATCTGCAATAAATAAGTTACAGTGTACAACCATATTTGACATGTTAATTGCGACTGAGGTCACTGTTTGAATTGACGATGGTAATAATACCAAATTTTAGATATTGACATTTGTTTTAAATTATATATATTTCTATCAATTTGGGCGCGCCGGTCACCGGTGGTCCCCATGGCGTCACCGCCAAGTTAGGTGCCGGTCACCGGTGAACCCCGTGGCATTCAACGTGTTAAATGAAATAAAGAGTCAGCCGAAGACGACGGCTTTTAGCGCGAGCAATAATATTGCTCGAAAGCGGCCTCAAAGCGTAGAACTTCGATTTAACCCTTTGCAGACGAAGCCGCTCGACGGCGTCAGATATTGGATATAAAATAAAAATGTTATAAGATATAATTATATTATTATAAGATTATAAATACGTGGAAAACTTTGCTTGTTTCTCTGGTAACGACACAGAAAGATCGACTCGTCAAACTGAAATTCGTTCTGAACCTACGGTTAAATTAATAAATTTATATTAATAATTAACACTATGCCGTCCGCAGATCTTAGATATGATTCTTTTGTTTGACGCCGGCATAATAGCTTGGAAATTTTAGATTTTAACAAAAATTTCGAAGATGGCGGTGATATAAATTCCCAAAATTAAGATAAGTCATCCAAGAATTTTCGTACTTAATTCTTATATATATTCTTATATCTATATATTATTATATCTTATATCTATATTCTTATATATATATCTATAGTTAGTTTGTTGCCTTTTAACACCCAAGAATCTATATATATATATCTTATATCTATATTCTTATATCTATAGTTAGTTTGCTGCCTTTTAACACCCAAGAGATATAGTTCAAATGTTATTTCAGTTTTTTAAAATGGCACGAAAGTGGTATCACCGGCATACAACAGATAGTTTTTGCATGGCACCAGCGTGGTGCCACCGGATGGCATAGTGTTAATAAATTAATAAAAAAGAAAACGGTAGAAAGACTTGGGCAGCTGTTTGCCGACACTCGTCCGCAAAGGGTTAAATTGCTAATGCGAATGTAGACGGGGTTCCACCGACCCCTGGAACGTTGATACTCGTAAAGGGTGGATGCTGACGGTTTCGTTTCTTGCATCGCAGGTGTTTAAATCCTGGCAAATACGCCCAGCACCTGGAACGATGGCTCTCCTATTATCCGCCGCAGCAGTTGCACATCATAGACGGTGAACAACTGAGACAGAACCCCGTGGAGACGCTGCACGAGCTGCAAAGGTTCCTCAAGATCACACCGGCGTTCAACTACTCGTCGCATCTTAGGTACGACCCGAAGAAGGGCTTCTTCTGCCAGGTCACCAACGAGGATCGGACCAAGTGTCTCGGGAAGAGCAAAGGTCGCCAGTACCCTCCCATGGAGGACAAGTCCTATAAATTGTTGCAGGTAAGTGGCTAATTAGAGGGCCGTTCGCTGTCCTGACTCCCGAGATGAATCCGTTCCACATTCCAGAGAGGCGAGTCCCCCTTGGTCCAGATTTCCCTCGGTGCATGATTTATTCTGGATTCTTGGATCGTCGAGATCGTCGGAAGCACCACTACTTTGGCATTAAGTGAATCAAAATGTTTCTACAAAATGATTTTGATATCGATGATTTATTCGCAAGGATGGTTTAATGTGATGAAGGAAATGTGATCAAGGAAAATGGTAACAGAGGGTTCACTTAAGCCAGTCCTATTGATAAAATAGCCTGAAAAAAAGATTCGGTCACTTCTGAAATGCACACTTTCTGTCTGAATGAAATTCTAAGAAACATAAAACTTGTCGTACTGGAATAATCAAAGAAAGATAATTGTGTTATCGTGCTTCCATTATATTTTCTCGAGATAACATAAAAAGCTAGCTCATGTATATTAGAATAGTAAAAGAAAAATTATTGTCTCGAGGCTGAATTGATTTTCAGCGAGGCTAGTAGAATTTAGAAATAAAGAGAAGAGCTAGTTTTTTGGCTAATAAAAGAGAAGAATAATAAAAGAAAAATTATTGTGTCGAGGCTGAATAGATTTTTAGCGAGGCTAGTAGAATTTAGAAATAAAAAGAAGAGCTAGTTTTTTGGCTAATAAAAGAAAAGAATAGTAAAAGAAAAATTATTGTCTCGAGGCTGAATAGATTTTTAGCGAGGCTAGTAGAATTTAGAAATAAAAAGAAGAGCTAGTTTTTTGGCTAATAAAAGAAAAGAATAGTAAGAGAAAAATTATTGTCTCGACGTTGAATTGATTGTTAGGGAGGCTAGTAGAATTTAGAAATAAAAAGAAGAGCTATTTGTTTGGCTAGTAAAAGAAAAGAATAGTAAAAGAAAAATTATTGTCTCGACGTTGAATTGATTGTTAGGGAGGCTAGTAGAATTTAGAAATAAAAAGAAGAGCCAGTTGTTTGGCTAGTAGAATTGTTTTCCAGATGTGACGATCGATATCCCAGCCCAGAAGAATCTACAAATCCCAAATCAAAGTCCTTCCTACCCTGAAAAGGATTGCGAACGTGTAATTAGATGAAGAAATGGTCCCTTGATGACAGTTTATCTGTTTGCAGAGGTATTATTTGTCCCACAACACGGCCCTAGTAAAATTGTTGAAGCGACTTGGACTGAGGACGATCCCGCAATGGCTGAAGGAGGACCTCACCGACACGGTGATGACCTAGCAAACGTCGATCATGTGAAACGATACCGTTTCGGCGCTCCTGATCTCGACGGTGAACGAGATCCACCGTTTGCTAGCGGAGGACTTGTAAAATACTTTTGTAAAGTACACACTGATCGCTCTCCACTGGACTCGAGATCCTCGACAGAAGGACCACAACAGGCCTAGATCCCAGTGGGTGGCTTGGCCTAAATCGATGGGAGAGCCTGCGAAACTAGTCACTATAAAAAGAAGAAGAAGAAGAAGACAAAGAAGAAGAATGAAGAAGAAGAAGATGAAGAAGAACGGTTTCACGGTGACACGACCGTGGCCGTCGATCGTTGTTAATAGCACTATTATTAACGTTATGTATTATTATCGTCATCGTTGTTCCCACGCGAAGGAGGCGATTGTTAGCCGTTGTATACCGTTCACGATCCTCTCCGATGGTTTACTGGCTCGGTCGAAAGGCGAAAGGATTCCTAATTACTCCCCGAATCGGATCCTCGATCGCGGCGCGTTTCATTTGATAAAATCAATATTTTGGTAACGAACGTGCGCGACGATGAATCGTGAGGATCCATCGGAGACCTTGCTTTCGTCAGACTTATCTGGTAAAGATCGTCGACGATCGGAACGAGATGACGAGGGGCGGTCCTCCGGGAATTGACGATGACCACTGTGAGACAAGATCTGTCCAAATCGTGTTACAATGTTTCAAGAGATTTATTTCCTCATGAAAGTGATCCATGAGATAGATCGAGCGTTGATGTTTGTCGCGGATCCGCCGAGATCCGCCAGTCCTTCACTCCTGGCACTAATTGGCAGGATCGTTTTTTCCGGGATTCCTCGAGCTTCACTCCCGCCCACTTACCTCTCGGAGACACACACACACAAATGAACAAACAGACAGAACAAACAAACAAACGAACACAAACACACCGATGTACATTAATTCTCGTTGGCGTAAGCGTATTTAAGGAAACGATAATGATGATTCTATGTATATTTTGACAATACTATTCTTGGTACCGACGATGGAGAAAGGATCGATGAAGAGTGTGCATGAGTGAATGTGCGAGATGAGAGAGAGAGAGAGTGCGAAAAAATTTGAAGAAAGATCGCGTCCGTTTGTACATTTATGTATCGTACCATTTTTTATGTGATCGTAGGTGTACCATAAAAATGACTTAAACACATGGTGAGAAAAATTTCAGGGAACGATCTCGTCGGCGAGATCGTTGCCCTAGATCAATCTTTTTTCGGTGGGAAGGTAATAACTGCCTATTTGCAATAATCGCTATCGTCACGTGCGAGACACGCCGACTATGGTTTATACGATAAATCCTATGTTCCGTGGTAGGGGAGAGCGCGTTCGTTGTTGGAAGGAAAAAAAAAAGGAGATCGGTTTTTTCGAGACTTTAATACCTGATGTATGATACCTAGCGTGTCCTATAGCGAACTTCGCGTCCTCCTTGTGGATAATCTCGTTGTTCACGGGATCGTTTGATCGTGGCGATCGTTTGTTGAATGCATATCAGTTACTATTGTCTTTGTTACACCTTGTATACGATATATTAGCTACTTACGAATTTTGTTCCCGATCGATTATAGCCCGTCGGACCAATCAGTATCGTCCGATCGCGTTCCGGGTGCCAGATTTTCTTCGGGCTCGCTCGTTTGCTGCAACGATTCGCTCGAAATTTCTTGTTTTTAGTTGTTTCTTTAGTTGTTTATTCTACTTGCGCGGTTAACGGGTAGAGGATTTTTACGTTGAACAAATATTGTCAAGACGTAGACGATATACATCTACAAAGACATTGATTTCTTTTCTTTTTACGATGAATTTTTTAAGAGTTGGAAATGATGCTGCTTTATTTTCGAAGTTTTTAAACGTTCTATTGTTTTACGTTTGATCTGCTCGTTTTCATTGTGAACGCATAAAAGCCGCGGTCGAGTAATTAACAAGGCGTCAGGTTAGTTAGTATCTATTTCTGTTAAACTTTTCTTTTTAATATTCATTTCGACGTGACGTCGCAAAATTGTAACGATTTGTTGCTGTTGCAGCAAACGAACGAAACTTTCGGATCGCAGAACGCGTGTTTGGCTTGTTTCTCGAAGAATCGTTCGAAATTGTCTTATCAGGGTGACTGGAAGTCGTTGTTTAACCCTCGGACAGCGGTGCCCGGGTCCCTATTAACCCGTCTTTTCAAGGGTTTCACAAATTACCGAATATAATGGTCGATACGAATTTTCATAAGAGGATCAACGCGTCTCTGTGTATCACATTCGACAATTTGATAAAAGCGTAATATTTAAAAATCGTCCGACTCGCGAGGGTGAAGTTAGGAAAAGCACAAAATCATTGAGAAGAAAAAGTTGAGATAAAATTGTAACGTAAAAAAAACCTTACGAAATCCGTAAACAATGGGCCAAAGCGAGTTTCTATAATCGCGACGTAATAATTCTTATCGATCGTTCTACCCGTTCTACACGTTTAGACGCTGTCGTACGAACGTTTTGTTACCCCTTGTATATTTTATTTTCATTTTTATACTGCCGTTGAACTGTGTCACGTGAAAGAAACAAACAAAACAAAAAAAAAAACAAAAGAAAAATGGAAAGAACGGTTAACGAATCATGTACAAAGTTCATTGTTAATATAAATGATAGTTAACGAGCAAACGATTATCTCACGTAACTAAGCGATTGATCTGTTTCGTCGAATCGTGCCATTTTACCAAGTGTTGTATATACAGTTGTGTATATCATTGTACCGCGACCTCGGATCTCTAGAGTCAATATCCACACGATTTCTGTTTTCGGTATGGCGGCGGCAACGACTGTCCGGTTTGCTGCTAGCTGACAATAATATTTGACGAAAAAAAAGAGAAAAAATACAGAATCGGAAAAAACCGGCCGAGGATCCGAGGATCCATCGGCGAAAATCTTTCTCGAAGCCCTTGCTGACCGACTAATTGGCATCCGTTCGTCGTTGGTTCGCCGAAGTCTCGCATCTCTCGAAGAGTCATCAATTTTAACGATTTGTCCATCGGAAGTCTGTCCATCCGAATTTTCAATTATTCTACAGCGCCGAACTAGAGCTCGAATATTATTGTTTAAATAAATGAGTAAATTGTTAGACCGTTTCACCAAGGATAATTTCTCGATCTACAATTCGAATTGTTATTTTTACCGAAAGATTTCTCGATCTTAAAAACCACCGATCGAGTCAAAATAATTTTCGATGTTTCACAATCGCTGAAACGGCGAAGTGGATTTTGTAAACAATTATTTCAATTAATTATTATAATAATAATAATTATAATAATTATTTTCTCGATCTACAATTCGAATTGTTATTTTTACCGAAAGATTTCTCGATCTTAAAAACCACCGATCGAGTCAAAATAATTTGCGATGTTTTACAATCGCTGAAACGGCGAAGCGGATTTTGTGAACAATTATTTCAATTATTTATAATAATAATAATAATTATAGTAATTATTTTCTCGGTCTACAATTCGAATTGTTATTTTTACCGAAAGATTTCTCGATCTTAAAACCACCGATCGAGTCAAAATAATTTTCGATGTTTCACAATCGCTGAAACGGCGAAGCGGATTTTGTAAAAAAAGTGATTTCAATTAATTATTATAATAATTATAATAATTAATTTCAATTAATTCTGAACGAAGTTTCCCATGAAAAATCTTATTCGACGTTTCTTAATCTTACTAATGATCTTTACAAACGCGAAATAACATCGACCGTGAGTCCAGCAATTTTTACAAAGAAATTCTATCCATTACATCGTATCGATTACAAATAAATCATTATCCGTGAATTATAGACTTTTATGGAAAGCAATCGGACAAACAGCCGCCGTTAGGCAGATCGCTAACAACGAAAAATATCGCAATCGCCATCGATCTTCTATCAGACTTAACATATCTAAATTCCGATCGGACTGACTTACACGTGTTCAATTATCCAATGATCGAATCCACCCACCAGCCACGCTCGTTACATGTTCGAGAGAGCGAGCCAACGACAGGATCCTGCTGATAATTCTCTGCGCGTGGATTTCCGGCTTTTGTGGATCGCGCAGAATTCGTAGCTGTTCCCGCAGACTGTCGCGCAGACGGGGAAAGAGAGACGTAACCGCGCGAAAGAAAATCGAAAAAAACTATCATTGTACGAATAAGCGGGAGACACCTGTAGAATATGTGTACGACACTTTCATAGGACTTTTGATTATTTAACTTAAAAATTATTCTATTGTAAAATACTGTAATAACTGTATGAATAGTCNAACGACTGTCCGGTTTGCTGCTAGCTGACAATAATATTTGACGAAAAAAAAGAGAAAAAATACAGAATCGGAAAAAACCGGCCGAGGATCCGAGGATCCATCGGCGAAAATCTTTCTCGAAGCCCTTGCTGACCGACTAATTGGCATCCGTTCGTCGTTGGTTCGCCGAAGTCTCGCATCTCTCGAAGAGTCATCAATTTTAACGATTTGTCCATCGGAAGTCTGTCCATCCGAATTTTCAATTATTCTACAGCGCCGAACTAGAGCTCGAATATTATTGTTTAAATAAATGAGTAAATTGTTAGACCGTTTCACCAAGGATAATTTCTCGATCTACAATTCGAATTGTTATTTTTACCGAAAGATTTCTCGATCTTAAAAACCACCGATCGAGTCAAAATAATTTGCGATGTTTTACAATCGCTGAAACGGCGAAGCGGATTTTGTGAACAATTATTTCAATTATTTATAATAATAATAATAATTATAGTAATTATTTTCTCGGTCTACAATTCGAATTGTTATTTTTACCGAAAGATTTCTCGATCTTAAAACCACCGATCGAGTCAAAATAATTTTCGATGTTTCACAATCGCTGAAACGGCGAAGTGGATTTTGTAAACAATTATTTCAATTAATTATTATAATAATAATAATTATAATAATTATTTTCTCGATCTACAATTCGAATTGTTATTTTTACCGAAAGATTTCTCGATCTTAAAACCACCAATCATGGTTAAATTGATTTTCGATGTTTCACAATCGCTGAAACGGCGAAGCGGATTTTGTAAAAAAAGTGATTTCAATTAATTATTATAATAATTATAATAATTAATTTCAATTAATTCTGAACGAAGTTTCCCATGAAAAATCTTATTCGACGTTTCTTAATCTTACTAATGATCTTTACAAACGCGAAATAACATCGACCGTGAGTCCAGCAATTTTTACAAAGAAATTCTATCCATTACATCGTATCGATTACAAATAAATCATTATCCGTGAATTATAGACTTTTATGGAAAGCAATCGGACAAACAGCCGCCGTTAGGCAGATCGCTAACAACGAAAAATATCGCAATCGCCATCGATCTTCTATCAGACTTAACATATCTAAATTCCGATCGGACTGACTTACACGTGTTCAATTATCCAATGATCGAATCCACCCACCAGCCACGCTCGTTACATGTTCGAGAGAGCGAGCCAACGACAGGATCCTGCTGATAATTCTCTGCGCGTGGATTTCCGGCTTTTGTGGATCGCGCAGAATTCGTAGCTGTTCCCGCAGACTGTCGCGCAGACGGGGAAAGAGAGACGTAACCGCGCGAAAGAAAATCGAAAAAAACTATCATTGTACGAATAAGCGGGAGACACCTGTAGAATATGTGTACGACACTTTCATAGGACTTTTGATTATTTAACTTAAAAATTATTCTATTGTAAAATACTGTAATAACTGTATGAATAGTCCGTAAGTTCTAATAAAAGAAATGTTCAAAATCTTGACCCAGTCTCGTTTATTACCGCATACAATTTCACCGAAACCGTAAACTATGGTCTCAAAGGCTCTGCGATGCTGTCTAGACTCGACAACCCTTCCTTTCTCGACGATTGTCCACAAAATTCGAGCCTTGCGACTCGTTTTTATAGTTCATTAATTAATTATAATAATATAATAATAATAATATAGTTCGTTAATTAATTAGTTCAATCATTAATTAATTAATTTTCAACAATTATAAAAACGAGCTGCAAGGCTCGAATAATCGTATCTCCTCTTTCCAAATTGTCCATTTTTGTGGACAAAAAGAGCGTCAATCAGGGAGACATTACTTAATGGCATGAATACCGACACTCGGTTTTCTAGTAGAGTCCACCACCGTGCCCGGTTGTACATGAACAGGATCGTCGTCAACCTGGAAGAGCATCTGAAAGAAGGTTAACCCTTTGCGCTCGAAGCCATTTTAACTGTAAATCTAAAAGAATTTTCTCTGACCTATAACTATTTTACATAACAGAGCGCATTTTATGCATTTTATTTATATGAAATTGAGTCTCGCGACTTGTGCAACAGTGTTCTAATTTTAACGATTTGTCGAATCTAAATTTCGTCGATGTAAGAATTATTTTGGAATGCGCTATAAACGTTCTAGCGGTGCCTCGGAGACACCGCTCGAGTGCAAAGGGTTAATAATAATTACCAGATAAAAGTAAATTATCGAATTTCTTGTATTAACCCTTTGCAGTCGGAGCTATTTTAATTCGAAATCCAAAAGACGCTTTCTGATCTGTAGTATTTTTATTTGACACGATTCAGTGTGCAGTTTATGCATCTGAAATTACGTCTATCGGCAAGTACAATAACTGTAATTTCCACAGTTTCTTAAATACGACAAATCTGATACCGTTACGATTATTCAACGAAAAATGCTATAACAATTTTTAGCGGCGCCTCGGACTCGCCCGCTCGAGTGCAAAGGGTTAAATGGTCTCAAAGGCTCTGCGACGCGGTCTGTCTAGGCTCGACAACCCTTCCTTTCTCCACAGCAGCATCCTCGGCCTGGTACTTCATGGCATGAATACCGACGCTCGGTCTTCTAGCAGAGTCCACCGCCGTGCCCGGTTGTATGTAAACAGGATCGTCGTCAGCCTGGAAGAGTCTTTGAAAAAAGGTTCTCCGAGGAACGTCCAGAGCCGCCATAGCCCTGGCAGCCCGAGAATGATTCAAATGTTCCGATCGGTTCCTTAAGAACCCTAGCACCTCGAGCAGGGTGAACGATATGTACATGATCACGGAGACCATGCTGACCACAGTCAACAGGCAGATCACCTGCCAATAGAGCCTCATCAGGTTCGTCTCTGTGTCATCGATCCGCTCGATAGCGAACAGAGGAGCCAACAGGCTCCCGAGAAACGCGCAAGCCACGTGCGTAGCTATTATGTTGCAATAGTCTTCTAGAGCGCTTTGGAAGACCAGCTTCGAGACCAGGAAATAGATCACGCTGCCGATCGATCCTACGCAGATCGCCATCTCCGGCGTATAAATATCGGCGCCGGCTGAGACCACCGCCAGTCCGGCCACCGTGGCCTGAACGCATCTCATCACCGTCCAATGATTAAATTCCTCTCCAGTCAGCGTGAAATGGAAGGCCACCACCAGCACGCTGCACGAAGAAGCTGCCAGCAGATTGTTCAGGTAAACGTTCCCGCCGTGGCCAAATCGGAACTTCTCGTGCGACATGCTCAGGCTCTAGAGCGACAGAGTTCGTGTGGGTCCCATCTGTGGTCTTATCGGCAACGAGATACAGAACGATAGCTGCTCCCTCGCGATAGCTTCTCCTTGGAGATAAGCAGTAATTGGGGTCGAGACGTTAACCCTCGCCCCAGCTACCCGGGTACCGACTATCGATTTTGAAAGAAATGTATAGAGGATCGTTTCGTCGGATATTTGTGGCCTGACCTTGGAACAGTGGGCGTTAGCAGCGAGCGGAGGTTTGGAGATACAGTGGCCCACAAAAGTTTTCGTATACCTTTTAAAACGTAATATTTTTTTTTGAAACTGGACTAAATGGCTTGAATTGTTTTTAGATGATGGGGGGACTAGGATAGTAGATAATGACTGAAATGTCTTTTTTTAATTTTGCTGTTATTTGGAATGATAGAAAAAAAATTAAAAACTCTTTTTTCAACTTTTTTATCTGAGCTTGTAACGAAAATTTAAAAATGCCTCTCGTAGATTTAAGTAACTTATATACGTGCTGAAAATTTGATGGATATTGGTTAATCGAAAGTCAAGCTACAGGCGTTAAAAGATTTTGGAAACTGCAGACTTCTTACAGTTTTTTTTATCAAAATCGTGACAAAACTGCGATTTTTGCCATATTTAATTTGTAATAACTCGTAACAATGTCAACTGATTTCGATAGAATTTTAGATATAAGTTACCGAGATCTACGAAAAACATGTTCCAAATTTTCGTTATAGGCTCAGATAAAAAAGTTAAAAAACGAGAGTTTTCTATTTTTTTTTGTCATTCCAAATAACAGCAAACTTAAAAAAAAAACATATTGGTCATTGTGTAATATACTATTCCCTCTATCATCTAAAAACATTCCATTCACTTAACCCAGTTTTTAAAAAAAGTTATTATATTTTAAAAGATATACGAACACTTTTGTGACCCACTGTACGTGTGAAAATTACGACGGCAACGGATAATTCTTTATCTTGACTTAATGACAATTTTTAATCAATGTTTAGAATGCTTCCAGCCGTCTGGAATTGATCCAAGGATTTATTTAATCTTTATTACAAGAAAATGTTCAATCCAAGATCAAGCTAAAACTTTTCTATTGAGAATGAGCACAATAGATCGTTCGAAAATTATGCAACTTCGTGATCAACCCCTAAATGGACATTGCTTTTATAAAAGAAGATCAGGAAATTGCTATCAAAATTTAATAATAATAATTCGGGAAAATCTTGATTACAGACGATGTCAGAAAGTAGACTGACAAATATCCTTGAAAAATTAGCATCGAAGGGTGAGGACTTATAGGACCATTCGGCCTAGTATCCAGGTAGCAGCATAACAGACTATAGCCCCTATCTTACCCTTGCGATTATACTAAATAGGCTGCATCGATTTACCTGCAGACCCAGGAATACCAACAGCTGGCCAGCAAATACGGTTCCCGAGGTACCAGTGGCGAGGCTCGCGTCATCTATAGAGCTGAGCCTGAGAATTCTTCTCCCAAGGATCATGCACCCTATCATTCCCGACAGTCCACCCACAAGGTGAACAACTGCAGACCCGGCGAAGTCCCGGAAGCTGACGAACGTCTCTTTCAGCACGTGTTTCTTCATCCATCCGTGAGGGGTCCAAGCCCAATGTACGAGGAAAGGCTGCGTCAATCCGGCCAATAGGAGGCCCGTGGCAAGATAGCCGATCGTGTGCGTTCTTCCCACGATGCCGCAAGTGCAAATGGCTGCCGCGACGACAGCCGCCGCCCAACCAATCAAGGCCTCGTCTTTGTCGGCCGTTGGGTCGCCAATCCACAATCCGTCGCCCACGATTCCGTTCGAGCCGCCGTTGTAGGCAATCAGGTAACCGATTAAGCAATACGATATCGTCACCCAGCAAACGTCAACTATGTTTTGCAACAGGATCAGATTGATGTTGTTCACTGGCACGCTGCCAACGTGGATCAGAACGTAGCCGATTCGCAACAGAATCACGAGAATCACGCGAGTGAAGCCTGGTGTTGGTTCAGGTATAATCCCGGACGCATTGTAATGATGTGCCGCCAGCGAAGTGTCGTCGTTGTAGTAAGTATAGACGAACTCGTCCGCCGGAGAATTGACCATCCCCTAGCAAGGTTATAATCTCCACCCGGTTCAGGTATAGGAACTATCCTCTGACAGCTGCTCTATCCTTTGTCAGGCTTGAACGTTGCTAGAAACGTTCGCGATACGCGATAGTCATTCTTGTTGTCGCGGTTAAAACTCCGAAAATCCAAGAAATGTTTTCGGAGAAAATTGAGGTGCGAATATTGAGCGCTTCGCGATTTAAGATACAGTGGTTCACAACTGTGTCCATACACCTTGTAAAATGCAATAATTTTGTTCAATCTGGTCTAAGTGACTTGAATGTTTTTTAGAATTAAATGTTTAAAATGTCTTTTTTAAAATTTGCTTTTATGTACTTGGGATGATAGCAAAAGAATAAGACACTCTCGTTTTTTAACTTTTTTATCTGAGCCTATCGAAAAAATGTTAAAAATTACTTTCGTAGATTTCGGTAATTTATATACGTGCTGAAAATTTGATGGAAATCGGTTAACCCAGAGTCGAATTACAGACGTTGAAAGATTATGAAAACTGCAGATTTCTTCCAGTTTTTGGTTAAAATTGTGATAAAACTGCGATTTTTGTAATCTTTAATTTGTAATAACTCATAACAACGTCAACTGATTTCGATAAAATTTTACCGAGATCTCTTTACATATCGAGATCTACAAGAGGCGTTTTTTAAATTTCCGTTATAGGCTCAGATAAAAAAGATAAAAAACAAGAGTTTTTATCATTTTTTCGTAATTCCAAGTAACAGCAAAATTCAAGAAAATCATTTTGGTCATTGTCTAGTTAACTAGTCCCTCTATCGCCTAAAAATAATTCAAGTCACTTGGACCAGTTTGAAAAAAGTTGTTATATTTTAAAAAGGCGTATGAACACTTTTATGGGCCACTGTAATTCAAGACGGCCCGTCCTACGATTTTTCTTTCCTATCTATAATTAATAATTTTCTATGTGATTAAAAGGGATAAATAAAGATATATTGCTGAAGTAATACTATAGTGCATTCTATAAAGTAATACCAACTGCATTCACATTTTAATAGGATACTATGTTCAATAAACAGAAACCAGGTATAAACGGTATTCTACCGCGTATTCAATTATTTCGCATATTTTATAAAGAATGTATTCAAAATCTAACGACATAGACCAAATACAATCAATACAATTGACGAGTAAAACGGTATAAAACTCACAAATAAGAAGAATAAATTCAGCTGCTAGTCGAGCTAGTCTCTTATAGTGGATCCCTGTAAAACAGCATTGCCATGTCGCAGACGTTACTCCAAAGCTGTCCCCCAAAATTTCATCAAATTCCTATTGACTAATATCCCAGCGTATAAATGTTTCCCCCACTCAAGCAAAAAGTGCGCCCTAAGATGACTCAAACGTCGAATACAATCGCGCTCTGGACCCCGCCGGCTCTGATTGGCCGGCGCAGCGGAAGCCAATGGTGGCCGGAGACGCCGTTGTCCGCGCATGCCTCCACGAGTCGATGCAAGGTCTGGGTCTCGCCTCTGCAGGGACAAGCCGGCAAGCGATGCCGTCCGTCGACGACGTTGGTAGTCGCTCGCAGACGGCCACTGGACCTCCGGGTGTTAGGTGGCAGTGGCTCGCGAGAAAGAGAGAAAGAAGCGAGCGAAAGGAATAGAGAGAGAGAGAGAGAGAAGGAGCAAAAAAGAAAGTTGAAATAATCTACCTTCAGTGTTTGTTCGTCCTGGCTCCCCGTTCCCGACGGCGGAGATAGAAGCTGCAAGAGGATGGCCGCGGTGTCCTGTCGCGCACTATGCATCGTACGATGGTCCGAGGTCTCCCGCATGCTGAGCGTGTCCTCCACCCTGGCCACGACAAAAAGCTTCCACCGGAATGTAAGTGCTTTTTATTTACATCTATTTATCTACATCGTCTTTTTCTACATCTGAATTACGTTGCCCGGGCGAAGTCTCGTCAACGTTGCGGCTCTTATCCGCAACGACCGGGACAAATAGTAACGGTAGCGTTACGTCTGTCTCTCTTGTTTTTACGGGAAGTCTCTCGGAGCACATTTTCTAATTTACACGGTCGCATCTGCTCCCGTGGCCGGCAGACCTTCCCTTTCCACAGCGTCGTTCCCTACTCTTTGTCCTCTCTCTCTCTCTCCTCCTCGGTGATTTATGCACCGCATGGTGGGAGAGACCTACGGAGAGATTATACGGGAGCAGCAACGGAGGCACAAAAATACGTATCGGAGATTATAAGGGAGAGAATCTGTTTCTGTCCGTAACTTTGTCATTAGCGGCAACTCGAATTCTATCCGACGGCTCGCATATCCGTCGTGCATACATAAACACGTTATATTCCCGACAGCGATGCAAATACGGGCACGCTACGGCGGCCCGGAACACGCTCTCCCCGCTCCCGTGAATTATTTCGTTGGCAACGATGACCGACGACGGGATCGCCTGCGGTGAATACCGTTTTCGGCCATAGAGTTTGGCGTGTCATAGTTGGCGGCGCTGTTAACGAAAGATCGCCGCCCCGGTGCACGTGTAAATTTGCCTTGTCGCTCGATTCAATCGACCGGCCGGAAACGCTGCGCGTCTATCTGGCAAGCGTGGCTCTCTCTCGCTCCTCTTTCTTTTTTTTTTTTTTTTTTTATCAA